CCCGTGTCCCCTGCATCGGCAGGCGGACTCTCAACCACTGCGCCACCAGGAAAGCCTGTCATCAGCATATTCTTAAAACTGTTTTGAATGTTAACTGAATTATACTTAAGAGGATTTTTTTTCCATTACCTTACATGACAATTTTCCTTCTTTTCTGACTCATCTTCAAAGCAGCCACCACCCCTGTTTTGTTCCTTTGCTCTGACCTGCTCCCCTCCCTGTCCTCCCAAGCCGGTTACCAATTTATTTATAAAACACATTCACTGGAATAGTCACATATTCAAGAAAACATAAATAGGTCTTTTTGTATTGTATTTCATACACAAATCCACCTATATGAGGAACTGATTTCTTTCTATTTATTATTTTGGCTGCATTGGGTCTTCATTGCTGCACGTGGGCTTTTTCTAGTTGCAGCGAGCGGGGTTTACTCTTCGTTGAGGTGCGCTGGCTTCTCATTGTGGTGGCTTCTCATTTCAGAGCACAGGCTCTAGGTGCATGGGCTTCAGTAGCTGTGGCACGCGGGCTCAGCAGCTGTGGCTCACGAGCTCTAGAGCACAGGCTCAGTAGTTGTAGCGCGTGGGCTTAGTTGCTCCGCAGCATGTGGGATCTTCCCAGACCAGGTATCGAACCCGTGTCCCTGCATTAGCAGGCGGATTCTTAACTACTGCATCACTAGGGAAGTCCCTATGAGGAACTGATTTCTGAACATTCAATTTTCTTCAAGTATAACATACTTTATAATTTTTAAAAAATCACCTTTTCAAATCCTTTTAAAATGAGTTACACTATAAACACAAAAATACTTTCAATATCCATTCAGAATACTAAAAGAATGGCTCCACTTACAAAGGAACTTACCTCATCTGGGAAGTAAAAAGATGCACTTGTCTAAGCAAGAACTAATAGATGAAATCGGTCAGAAAACTATACAGGAAAGGAACAGACTGGATGGCCACAGGTTCACAGATAGAAACATTTCCCGTTCACCTTTTCAGTTAATACTTTGGTGCAGATACTTACTCCCTTAAAGTAATGAATGACATAGCTTTTCGGTTCCTTAAAACTTGTTATTTTGTAAATAAATATTTAACTACATTTTCAAAAAAGACTTGTAAGTGGCTACTTTAACTCTCAATGGTCTGATTTTATGTGCCTCTTTCTCTGTAATGGCAGCCTCAGTGAGCAATGGTCCAGGTACTAATAAATACAAAGTTCCCTCACATTTATACAAAGAACTCCTGCCATTTACTATATTTAAAAACATTTCTTTAATTGGGAATTAGATGTCTCTCAGGGCTAGGAAGTCCAGTATTCCTAAGAGTTTTCTGCTTATGGACAATGAATCTTTAATTAAGAATAAAAAAAGATATATAGGCTTTTCACTGATAATCTTTTATACTTTCTTAAACCTTATATACAAATTTTTGATCAAAATAAGTATTCACGATCACCTTCATTTGAAAAACAATACAGAAAAATACATTACACTTTTTCTAAAAGGCACATGAGTGCACACACACACAAACACACACACATAACACGCAAAACTCTTCATAATAAATGGATTGAGTTGTGCCATTTCTTTCTACTACCAAGATTATTTCTTATTAGTCCCCATTTTGTGAAATAACAAAGAAATGGAGGTTGTAGAAGAAAGTAAGGTTATTGATGACTCTAAACTCATGCGAAAATACCTGATTTTCAAAACAGCTTTATGGACATGGATATATTTCCCATCAATTCGAAACTTCAGATCGGCAGTTTCCGGACTGTCAAATTCTTTCTTCAGTGACTCTGCAACTGTTAAAAAGTCTTCATGCTCTGAAGGAAACGAGCACATTAATACAGGAAGCTCAGGAAACATGTTCAAGCTTTGAACTTCAGAAAGATAATGATTAGCATGATGGATAATTCCATTAGATTTTTTTCAGAAGAGTTCAGACCTTACTCAACAAATCAATTTCACAGTATTAAATTAAAATCAATGTCACAGAAATTAAATTAAATTTCACAGGCTAATGGGGAAACAAAAAATCAGGGACCCTCATTGGCACTGAATGAAGGTACTATAGACGCAGGAGACAGTTTCTGTTGTCCCCTGAGATGAGAAGGTGATTCTCAGCAGCTGCTGTTACCTAAGTAACAGAAAAAAAATACATATTTGGAAAGGCCAAATACCAGTCTGACATGCTAAGTTAGACATTAAAAACGTGTATTTTTTTTAAAAAAGAGAAAGTTATAGATCATCATGATTAGGTAACTACTACTCTCAAAATTGAGTGGTGCTCTTCTAAGATTAAGAATTTATCAATTTTCCTTGACAGAAACTCTAAGGTGCTCTGCTTTGGGATAGTTTCAAGGAGTTGGTAAATTTGACTCAAGGAGTCCTAAGAAACAAACTCACCACTTAGGCTAAGAGTGTGTTCTTTCACAGGGTGACCCTTTTCCCTCGATATCTGGAATCTAAACGTCCTTCTTAATGCTAAAAATTAATGCAGTACAAGCAATAATCCTTACACACTATCTAAAAGCAGAGCAAATTCACTTAGTAGGAATGTATACTTAGAAAGAACAGCTTTACAAAACCATGATCACACTGCCTGATAGGAAGGTGTAAGTACATGTAATTCTTATATGTAAGTAGAATCGTGCTATCATGAAGAAAAGTAAAGGCACTTGTACAATACTCATGCAACACTTTCCTGTGCTTTCCATGTGTGAACAAAGGGAAGGAGATAGAAGAAGGCTAACGGGGAAATTTTTTAAAGTCCAGAGACCCCTCGCTGGCACTGAATGAAGGTACCATCGATGTAGGAGACAGATTTCCACGTCCCCCGAGGTGAGAAGGTGACTCTCAGCAGCTGCTGTTACCAGGGCGCGTCTTAGAGGAGGGACAACTGCTAAAAACTAGGCTGAAGCTTAACAAAGGAGCTTTCCACAAGCTTTATTATCAGAATCTCCCAAGGAAATACCATTTGCCTAAGCCCTATTCCCTTAACATACATCCTCCCCCTACCCTGATACTGCAGAGCTCTCCTGGCTGTGGAGGAGGGGTGGACAAGCTCTCAAAAACCAGGCTTCCCCTGACCCTGCAACCTGAATCCCCAGTGAATGAAAGAAAGGAAATAACTAAGATGGGCAGAGTCCCAGAGTCTAGATTGCTACCAACCTCCCTACCGAAAAAACAGCTTCTTATCAGTGCCTAACGCCTGCATCTAGTCCTAAGAGTTGGACCATCTTGGTTTCTGGCAACAAGTATAGTACCTCCCTTCAGAGAAGAAATGTTCTTCATAGGTGTGAATTCATCCTCTGACTTTCTTCCCGACACACAGCTGAGATCAGAAACTGAGAGGAAATAAACACTTCTGACTTTTGGCGGGTGCAAGAGAAAGAAGTCACCTGGGAGATATGTTCAGGGACCATACTTTTTCCCAACTTAATAACAGAAAATATTAGGATGTTTGGTCTGAAAAGAATGTCTTTTCAGGATTAGGATTTTAAAATGCAAGAACCTGAGGGAAGCCTTTTTTTTTTTTTTTTTTTTTTTTTTTTGGCGGTACGCAGGCCTCTCACTGTTGTGGCCTCTCCCGTTGCGGAGCACAGGCTCCGGACGCGCTGGCTCAGTGGCCATGGTTCACGGGCCCAGCCGCTCTGCGGCATGTGGAATCTTCCTGGACCGGGGCACGAACCCGTGTCCCCTGCATCAGTAGGAGGACTCTCAACCACTGCGCCACCAGGGATGAGGAAAGCCTTTTATAAACAGGTCCAGGTTAAGCAGTATAGGACTCTGAGATGTGTACAGGGTCTATACATAGGTGTGATTACGGCCAAAGAGTCCCATTCTATAAACTAAATTTTCTTTGATCACAATATTCACTGCAAAAAAAATACTGTATTATAAAGAACCTGGAAAAGTTCCATTTGTTTCACTTTACGTTGAGCAGCAGTTTCACTTTTCCTAAACATACTCTTGCTCCCATGACCATATAGACTGGTCACCTGATGACAGGACAGCTCCAGCTACCTGACACACCTGAGCGTGACATGTTATTACAAGACCTTCAATATCAATTGCTGAGCGACCCAAACCCCATGTTGTCAACAGCTATATTAATTTTCAAGCACAGGGTATCATGACACTTATTTCCTCTGCATCACAAACAAAAGAATGATTTAGAAGAAATACATTGGCAAAAAGGCAGAAATAAACAAGAAATAAAAAAAGAGATTAAAATCATCATGTTAATGGCTACTCAGCTTGATTACATTTTAACATTTTCAATCAACAATGGACCCTTGAAGAAGACAATATTCAGAAAAGGGACAGATTATATAACCAAAGATCAACCTGAATCCACTATCCTTTTTTTTTTTAAGGCCGGGCGGCATGTGGGATCTTAGATCCCTGGCCAAGGATCGAACCTGGGTCCCTGGCAGTGGAAGCTCAGAGTCTTAACCACTGGACAACCAGGGGAAGTTCCCCACTATCCTTTATAATGCCGCTGTTTTGATCCCCTCCCGCCCAAAAAAGTATCTGAGATTCATTGAAAGAAAAATAGGGAAGGAAATTGGAATTAACAACGCCACGAAGTTAACAAAACCACAAGTTTTTCATTTTTTTTAAAGTTCATTTTTGGTTCATGTTATATTAGATTATGTAATAAGTTTAATATAACAAAAGCACTTAAGAACAGGTTCCTCAAACAAATAATTTGTACATGAACGTTCATAACAGCACTATTCACAATAGCCAAAAGGTGGAAACCATCCAAATGTCCATCAACAAATAAATGGATAAACAAAATGTGGTCTACATATACAACAGAATACCACTCAGCCATAAAAAGAAAAGAAGTACTGATACATACTACAACCCGGATGGGTCTCAAAAGCATTGAGTAAAAGCCAGACATAAAAGGTTGTACATTGTATGATTCCACTTACATGAAACATCCAACAGGTAATTCCATAGAAACAAAAAGCAAATTGGTGGTTGGGGGAAAGAAAGAATGGGTACAGGGTGTTCTTTTCGGGTGATGAAAGTGTTTTAGAACTTGATATAAATGATGGTTGCACAACATGGTGAAGGTACTAAATGCCCCTGAATCGTACACTTTAAAAATGGTTAATTTTATGTACGTGAATTAAACTGAAAACACTGAAGGGGAGAAAATAATAAATCCATATAATATTCCATAATGTTTTAATAAATTGTATTATGCAAATCTAATTTGGGGAAAGGTATTAACGCTAACGGAGGATAAAACATCTTGAACCTAAAAAAGCCCACAGCCAGCAAATGTGCAGGAACACCCGTCAGCTGATGACACCCTTCGCTGGGGGAAGCAGCCCTGAGCTTACCTATAGACAGGAGGCGCCAGGTGACGGCGGGCGTGGCGAAGCAGGCGAACACGTCGTCGGTGGACGAGAAGTGGGTGAGGTGAGGCAGGGTCACCGACTGGCCCCGGCACTGGCCCCACATGTACACGTGCCCTCCCTGCGTCTTGGCTGCAGACGTGTGGGCAGAGTGGCAGGCCGCAATCTCTATCACCCTGGGAAGTTTTCAGAAAAATGCACGTCACTTCTTTTTCACAGAAGCCTAAGCGTGCCACACAAGGTAAATAAAAAGTTCGTGCTCAGAGCACCTCAAAAAGCCCAAGATCCAGGGACTTTAGCTACCAAGTCATACTGACAAAAGCAAAAGACTAGAGCAAGAGTACTGTGTGTCTCCCTTCCTGGCTGCCCCACTTCTCACGCTAACCTCATTCTGAGTTAGGATGAATAATGCATACTGTTGAAGAAAACCTGGATAAAGGGAATAGAAACCAAAGAAAATGAGGGAAGTGGACACTGGAAAAAAATGTCCTGACAGTTCTGAAGGCTTAGACAGTAGCAAAAAATACTGTATTCAATATACCATTTCCTTACAAATACAACTTTATCTCTCACCCCCTACCAGTGCTCAGAACACTCATTAGGCTGATAGGCACTGGTCTGGGGGTCATGGACTCTGAATGTCCCAATCCAAATGGACATCAAGCCAAACTTACTACATTCTCCATATGCTTCTTAGGCAGGGTCTCAGAATCAGAAGTCAACATTCTAACACTTCGTGGGTAAGACCTTACAATATGGCTGAACAAACATTAAGCATCTATTCTAGTAACACACATTAAATCAAATCAATATTTAAACAGATAATGCCCTTTCAAGGGCAGATTTTATTTGTTTAAAAGTTGTTTTAGTTGGCTCAAAAAGAAGAGTTTATACTACGCTTTAAATTTCAACATGGTGACAGACCTTACTTTTCTTCCCTACTAAACAGGCAACAAGAAGCTGCAGGGATTATACCCAGATGCATTAATGCCTGCCTACCAATCTCAGGTGGTTATCTGAGAAAGCTGTGTAAGGATCACGTCAACTTCACGTTCATTCTGACTGGTACAACACTCCTTTGTTCAAAATGAGAATGTTAATGAACAGAAGAGCTACAAAGCCAAAGACCACAGCTCCAGCACACACAGTCCCAAGTCCCAACGCACACACAATTCCAAGACATGGTACTGACAAGTTACCTTTCTTTCTCCACCATGATGTGTGCTGGGCTTAGCAGGTTATTTTTATTGCCAGTTCCCAGCTGCCCATACGTGTTAGCTCCCCAGGCATAGAGCAAGCCCTCATCAGTTAGTGCTAGAGTATGTGCATAGCCGCAGACAATCTGCAAGTAAATTTAAATGGTTACCATCAACAGGAGAACAGGAAGGGCAGAGAAAACATCTACTTAAAAATTAGGGCCAGCTTCTGCAGAATGCCAATTCATCATCAGGTGTGGACCGACATTCTCTGGAACATTAAAAAAGCATTAGAAAAGCCTATACCTGAGACTACTGGATATTTTTCCTTTTTTTTTTTTTTTTTTTTTTTT